GGGGGGGGAGGAAGGGAACCTACTTACACATTTAACCTTGAAAAACCATGAGAAATATGCAATCTACTACTCCACTGTATACTTATATCTGCTTAGGTTGCTTTAAAAAAAAACACAATACACAGAATTGTTCAACTTTTTTTCTTTTTACCTGTATCATATTGATATTCTAGTAAAAAATAATACGCTAGGCCAGTGACATTAAATACCCCTGGGCACTACGATGAATACATCTAGAGGCATGCATATAACCAAAGAAAAATAAAACAAAGGTCTGTTTTAATTTCATTTTATCTGAAATAATCATTTTGTTTTTTGTTTTTATTAAAGGTGATTTCAATTCCATCCTTGAAGATATAAACAGATGTTAAGTGTTATTCTGGATAATGGTGATTATAAACAGCCACATAATTGTCCATTTCCTATTTAGATAAATATATAATAGAAGTGATTTACTTCATTTTCAGAGTTCAAAGCATACCACCTGCAAATACTACAGATTAAAGCAACTCAAAAACCATTGGTTAAACCCAATGACAGTGAGTTCTAGGGAATTAAGACAAAACTCAACACATTGAATCCATGCTTTCTTTCTTTTTGAGACAGGGTCTCCCTATGTGGCCCAGGCTGTGCTCAAACTAGTTAACCTCAAACCTCAGTCCCAAGTAGCTGAGATTTTATATTCTTTCTTTGAAAATTCAAATTCAGTTATCAGCATAAGGAAAATTTAAAGATTACTGTTGCAGTTGTTGTAAGATTTTAGTAATATGAAAGGCAACACTGATGATGAAATATAATTTATACTCCAGGGAAACTACTTTATCATGTGCACATAAAGATGGATAAGGACAATAAAATAACAAGTAAGCAAGATAACTGTAACTGTTATTAAATAAATGTTCATTCCATTCTGAGTATAGGTAAGACATTGTCTTAACTGCTGTGAAGGTACAATTCAACTCACTGCTCTTTCTATCTGTAATGAGAGATGCAGAGGGGAGAGATGTGAGTAGGAGACCAGGTACAAGAGGCTGTAAGAGACAATCAGATACAAACAACGTATACTACACAAAGCAGACTGACCTATAACATAAAAATCTGCTTTACAAAGGAAGAAAAGATCTAATTCTGCCTCAAAGCAGGATAAAGTGCTGTATAAAACAAGGGACATGTTCATTATAATTAGAATGGATAGAATTTCAACAGGGAAATTGGATGTACAACAAAGATCTGGGATGTAAGCAAAGCACAAAGGAAATCTGCATGGGAAGGTATGTGGGCTGTTACATAAAGGGAGAAGGGAAGAAGAAGCTATGATTGGAAAAACAAATCAAAATGTTAACAGTGGTTATTTGTGATGACGGGTATGGGTGGTTATTTCTTTTTTAATACTATAATTTCATTTTTTGAGATTTTTAAAAGGAAAGAACATATAATGTATGTATGAGGGAGGGGACAAGAAAGCTATTTCTACTTGAAAAAATTAACAAAAGGATGAATTCAAAAGGCTATTTTGGTTTGCTTTTTTTAGGAGAGGAAGACCATAAATTTTTGGATCTGTTCAGCTAAAGGTACCAAACTAGGAAGGGAAAATGAGACACTATGTACTCAGATTTAAACTATGTTTTGTTTTGGTAATAATACATATTCTGTAACACAACATATAAAAATTTCCTTTAGCGTCCGGGGATTTAGCTCAGTGGTTCTGCTGCCTGCCTCACAAGCACAATGTCCCAAGTTCGATCCCTGGTACACTCCGCCAAAAAATTTCCTTTACTTTATCTTCACTTAAGATAGCCTGAATAAGGCACCCAGCTGAGTAAAGTAATAATAGTAAATAATAGTTATTTTCATTCAACTTGGAATCTGTGTACTTCTAAATGAAAGGACAACTAATAAAAACTGTGTAGGTTAAAATATATTTTGTACTTACCTAAAAAGCTGTCTTAATGAATTAGGTCTGTTTGGAAAAGTCTGTACCAGTACTTTCTCTGGAAGTTAACCACCTAGCCTCCCTTACTACCTACATCCCAACCTCAAACAAGCAAACCAACAGTTATCCACCCACTGTGGGTAGATAAGACTTAAAATAACTATAAAGTACCATCCTATATTTAAGCCACAGCACATTTTATGATGATAGTGATCTTGTGAGACTCCATATTAGACTCATTTATAATGGAAAGTATTTACATTGAAACAGCACAGCTGAATCAGAAAACATACCCCAGCTGGGGATTTAGCTCAGTGGTTTCGCTGCTTGCTGCACAAGTGCAAGGACCCGAGTTCGATCCCTGGTACCAAAAAAAAGAAGAAAAGAAAACATACCCCATTAGAAGCTTTCTTCTTTGCTTTCCATTCATCTAGTTGTGCCTTTGTTTTGGCATCAACTTTAACAAGCAACTTCTTCTCTCCAATCTGCAGGTCATGTAATAATCTGAGTGCACGGAGGGTAGATTCAGGCTCCTTATATTCACAGAATCCAAAGGCTAGTAACAGATGCAAAGAATTAGTCAATAGCAATGCAATTATGTAAGATTTTTAAAAGTATGAAAAAACAAAGAGATGTATGACAGGAAAAATTAAGTATCTTTTGGCCTTCAAGTTAGTGTGCAATAGTAAACCCAAAAGCCAAAGGCTAAACCAATTACAGTGAGTACACCAAGTGTCTACAGATCGTGATTTTGACAATAATTTCCCACTAAAAGAAACTAGAGCCCGTAAAAGAAATGACTGATTCCAAGACTGGAGCAAAAAACTAGATGATCTTGAAACATCTTATTACAGCAGATAATAAAAAGGCAGTGAGGACTGTATCAAAACCACTGGATATCCAGTTTGCAAAGGCAACATAAATCAACCTAAGCTTTAAAGTGATGACAACTATAGTGAATCCATACTAAATACAGGAACACTGAATATTCTTCAATTCTAAATTAAAAACTGGACAAGGCAAAACAAAAAATCAGTCACTGCTACAGAATGCTGAGGACACCAGACCATTTCCCAGAAATAGAGCCATTTATCCTATCTTTCCCATACCAATTAGGAAAAAGATAAATTGTAGACAGCAGGGAAAGTTTCTTCTTATACAAGTACTACACTGATAAATAAGGACTTATTCTTCAATGAAGAATGACAGAAGGGTGATTTAGCTCAGTGATTTAGCTCCGCCACTTGCCTCGCAAGCATAAACCCGAGTTTGATCCTTGGTACCAAACAAAACAAAACAAAACAAAATAAAACAAAACAAAAAAACCTCAACGACAGAAATAAAATGAACTGAGGAATTGACAAACACTTTGACTGACGACCTGACGTGTCCCCTCTTGGAAGAATACTGCCTTTATAGTATTCTTGCAAAACAGGCATTAAGGAAATATATAATAATTCAAATCTAGTCAAGTCTCCAGATATAATACTGAACAGTTTGCAGATAATACAGAGGAGAGCAAATTATACTATTGGAATAGGAAAAACACCAGACTTAAATGTTACTGGGCAAATGATAAATGATCAATGATTCAATTTCTTCAAAATATAAATTGCAATGGAAATGAGAGGGACAGACAGAATAACAAAGTATCAACAGACTCTTAAAACCAATTGGGAATTAATTGCAATGTATAGACCTCACACAGAACCTGAAATAAATAACATTCAAAAACTTAACATTTGAAGCTAGATGTAGTGTTGTAACCCTGTAATCCCAGCTCCTCAGTAGGCTGAGGACAAGGATGTACATTCCAGACCAGCCTAGGCAACTTAGCCAGACCCTGTCTGAAAAAGGAGAAAGAGCCAATGATATAGCTCAATTTTACAGCACTTGCCTACCATACATGAAAACCTTGGTTCAATTGCCAATACCACTAGTCCTTCCACCCCACATATGAGACAAGTGAGCATCTGCATAGTGATTGATATTTAATAATATTAAGTAAAATAGGTAATTCTTTTTAGGTCTTATTTATTTAGGTTTTTTGAGACAGGGTCTCGCTATGTAGTCCAGGCTGTCCTTGAACTCACTATGTAGTCCAGGTTGGCCTCGAACTCCCAGTAATCATTCTGCCTCAGGCTCCCAAGTACTGGGATTACAGGCATGCACCACCATTCCTGGCTCCTTTTTTTAGGTCTTATAATATTATTTTATCCAACAGGTATTTCTGACAGTAAGTATGAAAAATAGTTTCCTTTTAAGAGTAAAGGCCACCTGATCATCCCCCGCCCCCTTCTTCCCTATTCTAATTGCTCCAACTTTTTTTGGTGGTGGTGCTGCTAGATATATTGACTCCCAAGGCAGTGCACATGCTGAACAGTAACTCTACCACTGAGCTACAAGCCCTAGCCCTGTTTCATCTTCCTAACACAGTACTGGTTCCCAACAAAGAGGATTATTTCAAAGTGTAACAAACTAGTTAGTCTGAATTCTTTTAAATTTTTTCTCGTCTCCTTCCTTCTTACTCTACTTTTCCAACTGCTGATCTCAAATCTCAGCTAATTAAAGTGTAACAAACTAGTTAGTCTGAATTCTTTTAAATTTTTTCTCATCTACTTCCTTCCTATTCTACTTTTCCAACTGCTGATCTCAAATCTCAGCTAACATCTTCTCAATTGCCTTTTAATCCCATTCTACTAAGGACAACATAAAACATAAAACAGTGATTTATACCACAGGTAAAAGTGATCTAAACAAATAAGAAAAAGATAATCTTACCTTGAAGTTTTCCAGAAGCACCTTGTACTCTCTTCCAGCTCAAAACCAAACCACATTTCTTAAGAAGAAAAAGATAAAAAGTATAATTTTGATGCAAGTAAGAGCACAATCATAAGAGGGAGAAAAAGCATAGAAATTAAAATGAAGAGCATACCACCAACTGAGGCTGTTAAAATTATCTCAAATGCCCACAAATTACATGAAATATATAAGAAAAAATACAAGTTCTGACTGATTCTTAAGAAAATTCCATTTTAGTAAATTAGAAATTTTGCAACATCACTTACCCTACCAAATAAGATAGAAACCAACCAACCAACCTCCCTCAAGTGCCTGACTTGCTCAAATGTGCCTAGAATGATTAAATCCAAATAAACTGAGCCCATTAATACTGTTTTAAAACTATACATCACAGGTAATGGCACAGGAAAATGCTTGATATTATGTGCAAAAATAACGAGATAAGAAATTGCTAATACAGAGATTTCTAACTATAAAAGAAAAACACCATGTAAAATACTAATCAGAAATATCCCAAGAGATGCAGGAGTATAGCTCTGTGAAAAAGTCCATGCTAGCACATGGATCCAATAACCAATATCCTTCAAAAATAGAAAAAAAACTCCAAAATGTAAAGGGTAGGAAGGGGAAAGGGGAAAGGGAGAAAGGGAAAAGGAAAAAGAAGAGAACAGAAGGAAAAAACAGAAACAAAGCTTCTGTAAATAAGGCAGGGGAGAGGAGTTGAAGAGAGGAGAGGGAAAGAAGAAATAAGAAGAATCAAGATATATCATGTACAGGTCCAAATTCCATATGATGAATGTTATCATTATGTAGACCTAAAATGTACCAATAAAATTAACTTTAAAAAATAGAAAATACCTCACAAGCACAAGGTCCTGAGTTTGATCCCCCGTACCAAAAAAACAAAACAAAACAAAAAAAAAGAAAGAAAATATATGCATAAGCATCGCCAAAAAAAAAAAAAAAGTGAAGGGGGCAAGTTATTTGAACAGTGAAACAGTACTGCACTTTGAAATGAAACAAACTTTGAAAGAAAAAACTTATAAATGAGGGGAAGAAAGGTTGAAGGAAGGGGAAGAGGGTTGAAGGGAGGGGAGGGGAATCGGCAAAAAAAGAATCAAGATATATTATGTATTTTTCTACTCCCTCACAGCCATGCCAGGGGACCTCACAGAGCACAGCTCCTCCATTCTGTCCCCAGATGAATGCTGTGACCAAAGCAGAGTTGAACATCCTCCTGACCACAATAACAAGGTTATTCAAGTGAATAACAAGGTTATTCACTATGAACAATACCCACTCAACACAAGCAAAGTTTATTCCTACTTTGAATGCTGTAAAAAGAAGACAGAAAACTCCAAAGTAAGGAAGGTGAAATAGAGGAAACAGTATTTTATGGACTACAGTACATTCTTTGTAAGTACTTAAAAGGTAATGTTGTGACTAAAAAGAAAATCCAGGAAGCCAAAGAGGTATACAAAGAACATTTCCAGGACAATGTCTTTAATAAAAAAGGGATGGAAAAAAAAGGCGGGGGGGCGGGGGGGGGGTTGTTGAACTACACTCGAGAAATACAATGGGAATTTCCCTCTAGAAGACAACGCTGTTCCTGAGGGCTGTCATTCCCAGAGGAAATGTTCCCTTCACAGTGGAAAACACTGATCCAGAGTGCTACTGGGTTACAAACTTGTATTGAGACTATTCTTCAATCCTAGTATCCAAATCAGTGGCCACAAATTCTAGACAGCAGAAGAAAACATTGGTCAAATATTTGATAGAAACATCTGGAAACTTAGACGGTCTTCAATACAAGTTACACGATTTTGGCTAGAGGAGTCTCTTGCCAAGAGACTGATAACAGTAGTGGAAATTGCTCTAATTAAAAAATACTTGGGCCAGGGATTTAGCTCAGTGGTTTTGCTGCCTGCTGCGCCAGTGCAAGCACCTGAGTTCCATCCTCGGTACCAAAAAAACCCAAAAAAACAGTAATAATACTGTGGCACAAAGGATCCTGTTTCAGGTTATTCTGTTCCAGCAAAAGAACATAGTATGATAACAACTTGGGAGAAAGACCATGAAAAAGACGCTTTTGAACATACAGTAATACAGTTTTCATCAGTGCCTGTATCTGTCATCAGCAACAGCTGACATTTATAATGCACTTGTGAAAATATGGAGTGAAGATCTAAGACATTTAATACTATCAAGAAGTACGGGGCCAGGGATTTAGCTCTCAGTGGTTCCGCCGCCTGCCTCGCAAGCGCAAGGACCCAAGTTCGATCCCCAGTACCAAAAAAAAAAAAGTACAGAGGCAGCACTTATAATCAAACCCGATTCTGGAAATCCTCTTGATACCGTAATTAAAGGTTTTACATATTTTAGGTTAAAAGTGTCCTGTTACTGAGAACTCAGAAGGCTATAAGTTGTTGCAACCTTATGCCAGAGTTAATTCAAGATGGAGTAGATATTAATACCTTACAAGAGATTAGAGAAAGCATGAAACAAAACAAGTGGAGCATTAAAAATATTTCCTTTGGTTCTGGTGGAGCTTTGTTACAAAAGTTAACCAGAGATCTCTTGAATTCCTTCAAATGTAGATATATTATAACCAATGGCCTTAGGATCAATATCTTCAAGGACCCAGTTGCTGATTCCAACAAAAGGTCCGAAAAGAGCCGGTTATCTTTACATAGAACACCAGTAGGGAATTTCGTTACATTTGAGGAAGGAAAAGGAAACCTTGAGGGATATGGTCAGAATTTTCTCCATACCGTCTTCAAGAATGGGAAGGTGACCAAAAGCTATTATTCATTTGACAAAGTGGGCCAGGGATTTAGCTCAGTAGCACCACGCCTGCCTTGTAAGCGCAAGGTGCTGAGTTCAATCCCCGGTACAAAAAAACAAAAAATAAAAAGAAATGATTGATGAAATGAGAAAGACTGCTCAGCTGAACATAGAACTGGAAGCAGCACCTCATTACTTTATCGTGACCCTGACCTGGTGCTTGCACATATGTGCACCTGTGTGAGAATACATAATACATACTATCTACTGTGCAGATGTGTGGAGTTTCTTTTTTTGTTTTTGTTTGAGACAGGGTCTCCCTATGTAGTTCAGGCCGGCCTCGAACTCATGGCAATCCTCCTGCGTCTGCCTCTCAAGTGCTGGGATTATAGGTGTGTGACACCATGCCTAGCTTCTTTGTATTTACGATACATTACAGCCAAATTATTTGTTGGTTTATGGATATACTGCCCTTTTTTTCTTTTGTTTCCAGTGTTTAGGTGACCTCAAATTAAGCAACATACATAACCACTGTAAAAGATTAATGCTAAAGTAAGCTTTTTAGGGCCCTTTGCTAACAGTAACTCAATCTGGTATTGCTCTGTTCACAAATAACAGAACCAAAAAACTTATATACAACTAAAACAGATTTGCATAAAATTATCATTGCTTTATATTTAATTATATTGGTTTATATTTAGTTTGAATTTTTGTACAAACAACATTATGTAAGATATATTTAAAGTTTCAGTGATTTAACTGTTTAACTTTCCATGATTTTTTTTTCTTTTTGGTACTGGGGATCGAACTTGGGTCCTTGCACTGGCGCACCAGGCAGCAAAACCACTGAGCTAAATCCCCAGCCCTTGGTTTTGGTTTTTTGAGATAGGGTCTCCCTATGTAGTTCAGGCTCACCTTGAACTCACTATTGGGCTGGTCTTGAACGCACAGTGATCTTCCTGCCTCACCCTTTCCAGTGTTGGGATTACAGGCATGTGCTACCGCGCCCAGCAACCTTTTCTTTTCCCCAGTACCAGAGATCCAACTCAGGCCCTTGTGCTTGTAAGGCAGGTGCAGTGCCACTGAGCTAAATCCTCTGCCTTCCATGACTTTTATGAACAGAATTTTAAGAAAATACTTGAAAATAAATCACATTGCCTTCTGTCCATTAATCAGCAAATACAAAAAACATGGCCTTAACAAAGTTGTGTTATTGCCAGGTATTTAGCTCAGTGGTTCTGCTGCCTGCCTCACAAGTGCAAGGTCCTAAGTTTGATCCCCGTACCAAAAATCAAAAACAAAAAGGGGCTGGGGATTTAGCTCAGTGGTTCTGTCGCCTGCCTCGCAAGCGCAAGGTCCTGAGTTTGATCCCTGGTACCAAAAACAAAACAAAACAAACAAACAAAAAATTGTGTTATTGTACAATTTGAAATTGTAAGGACACACCCAATAGAATTATTATCCTCTCTGCCCCTTATAGAATATGTATTAATCATTCTACACCTAAGAAAATAATGGTTCTTACTGGAATGTCTAGGCACTGTACAGTTATATACCTTGGTTATACTGTACCAGTGAAATGGCAAATTTGAAAGGCCTGTACTACAGTTTTATATGTCAGATATTGCCTGTGACTCTAATATGCACCTCAAGATTTTAAGATAATGTTTTTAGCGAGAAATTCTGCTTCCACTATAGTATACATAAATATAAAATACTGACAAGAGTGGATGTAGTGTATTTAAAAGTAATTACACTTCTGAGTTTTTCATATTCTATAGCTGGAATGACTTAAATGACTTCACTGGAGTGGGTAGTGAGTGTATTTATTTTATTTTTTAGTATACTTATTTTAAATGTTGTTATATTTTTATAATTTTTAAAAGAATTAAATCTGATATTAAATTGTAAAAACCCTGATATATTATGTACAGGTACAAATTCCCTATGATAAATGTGATAGTTATGCAAATCAAAAGTGTACCAGCAAGGACCCGAGTTCGGAGTTTGATCCCTGGTACCAAAAAATAATAATAATAAAATTTTTTTGAAAAAGAAAACACTAGGGCCAGGGATTTAGCTCAGTGGCACTGCACCTGCCTCACCAGCTCAAGGTCCTGAGTTGCATAACCAGTACCCCCCCCAAAAAAACTGGGTTAAAAAAAGATGCTATTTGTTGTCCGGGGATTTAGCTCAGTGGTGATGTGCCTGCCTTGCAAACGCAAGGTCCTGAGTTCGACCCCAGGTACCACAAAACAAACAAACAAACGATGCTATTTTTGAAAATACTATGAAGATTACCTGTCAAAGCTAAGCACACATACATTTTCCACATCTTCCTTCAGAGAAACCAATAAAATGATAGTCGAAGAATATGAAAGAGCCCTCTAAGGTCAAATGAATGAGGAAATAGCAACAGAGGAGATTTCAATAAAATTCTGAAAACACAAAATGGAAATGGATGGATGGTTACTCATTTAGAAAAGCAAAGCAGGTGGCCCAGGGATGCAGCTCTGCAATCTCGTGCCTGCCTGGCAAGTGCAAGGTCCTGAGTTTGATCCCCAGTACCAAAAAGAAAAAAAAAAGCAAAGCAGGCTATACCTTCAAGAGTCTACAGAAACAAACATAGAGGAGAATGAGTTGAACTAATTGATCCTACAAAGTGAACTGTATTTGGGCCAGAGTAGAGAATGGAACTTGAGACTAAATTTTTAAAAGTGCTTAGTGACTTTAAGAAACAATTTGAGCCTCACAGTTCACAGCTTCAGGTCTTAAAGTCTCAAGTGAACAGAACAGACAAGGAGTGTGAAGAACCAGATATGATATACATAAGACCTTCATTAGGCAGATAACAAGGGAAGAAAATAAAACTGTTTTTTGAAATAGCTAAACCCTGCCTGTCCTTTATCTCCAAACCTATACAGGTAACCAATGATAACAGGCATGGAGAAGTTTTCTAGGAAAATCAACCAGCCCCAAGGAAAGATCTACATATACTATACAGAAACAACCAAAACCTTTGGCTGCATGCTAAACTGCTCTAAATTTTAGGGGGAAAGCTCTACATTTTTGAACCCAGCTTATGTACACACAGCGTTTCAGTCCATTTACTTTTTCTTTTTTTTGAGACAGGGTCTTCCTATGTAGTGCATGTTGCCCTTGAACTGTGGAGATCCTCCTGCCTCAGGCCTCTGAGAGATGGAAGTACAGGTATATGCTGCCATGCCTGGTTATTAACTTTAAATATGAAGACAGCCAAGAAAACTGGTATTTGTAGTTCCAGCTATGAAGAAGGCTATGACAAGAATGTAAGTTCAAGCCTAGTCTGTCTCAAAATAAAAACTAAATGGCTACGGATACAGCTCAATGTGAAGACTAGGGTTTACTCCCTAATATAGGGGGTGGGGAGTGGGGGTTGCTTACTTGCGAGGCAGGTGGCAGAACCACTGAGCTAAATCCCTGGCCCCCTCCATCTTCTTATAGCTAAAACTAGAGGGGACTTATTGAAAGACATTGTCAGACTTATAGATAATCTCTATCAGTAGAGCCAATTGGTTACAATCGCTATTCTAGTCCCTTTGTAAGAGCAGAGTCTGGATGTGGCTTTCTCCCTAACCTGCCTTTCTATTCTAGTGTTCATGCTTTGATTATACATGCTTTATTATACATGCTTGAATTTCTTGGAAAATTTGTTTATTCTTGCCTAGAGGCTGCCAAACTCCAAGTTGTTGTACAGATGGAACCAAAGACAAATGTGCCAGACTCTTTTTACTGATCCACTAGATTGACCTTGTAAAGGGAGTTCATAAACTGCTAAACTGCAACATGACTTCTATTCAAAGACCATCAGATAAGCTCTCTGGAGAAGGATCCAGACTGTGGTCTCCCCTACACCAACCCTTCTCAGTCAAAATACCTAGATGAAAACTATCCCCTTTCTCCCCTAACTGTAGGTTAGGGATATCTCTTCAGAGGGAAGAATACTATATATAGCTAGGTTAGGTAGAAATATTATAAGCAGTCAGACAGGGCTGTTATAGACGGTCAGACAGGGACAGGCCCTCCAGGGAGTCAGTACAGAAGATGAGAACACATCAAAACTGTGGCTGGGGGCACATATGAAGAAGACTGAAGTCACAATGGCCAGATTTACATACTTCCCCTAAGGGATAAACAGAAGCTTGAGATTATTGGTACCACTCTTTTAAGATTTCCCTATAGGGTCAGGAATTTAGCTCAGTGGTTCTGCTGGCTACCTCACAAGCGCAAGGTGCCGAGTTCGATCCCCGGCACCAAAAAAAAAAAAAAAAAAATTCCCTATAAATAAACCATTATCCATTAGGGGTGGGCCATCCTCTGCCACCAAGGCTAACACTACTAAGACTAAAGACAAGACTAAGACTATAGATTTATCAACCAAGGTATGATGTCATCCATATGCCCTTGCTACTAATGGATCAATATTGGCTAAGTGGCTATATTTGTAGTCTTACTGGTTAATTATAGTTTTGACACCCATTCTACCCACCTCGTGATTTTGCTCTATAAAACTTTCTCACAGAAGGGGGTTCGTTGGTAACCCATTCGGGACCCCTCCTGTCTCTCAAGAGTTATTCCTATTCCCCAATAAATTTTCCTACTCTTGCAAAAAAAAATTTAAATGCTTCAAAATGTGCTCACTGGTGAATAGGTCAAAGGATCCAAGTGTGTTCAGTGACTACTTGCCTGCAGACTTTAAAATTTTTCAAAATAGTGATCATTAGGTCATATTTCTCCATTTCAAGTTTGAAGTACATGAAAATAAAATTTAATGAATAAGAATTATACTTACAGCTAAGAGCTGTCGTATAAGCATGTCTGAGGCTTTCTCAGAAATGTTTCCAACAAAAACTGTAGTAGTAGGACCACAATTTTCATCATTTTCTTTAGCCTTTAAACCTGGATGATCCTTTCTTGCTCCCAAATGCTTTCCAACCATGGATACAGTGGGTACTAAGACCTGAGTAAAGACAAAGACAATAAAATTTTATCTGGCAACTTCCTATGACATTTAATGTAATATTAGGTTAAAAAACATCAATTTTAAGACAGTAAAAATCAAGCTATAAGGTGAATGTTTAAATTTTTAGAATTTATTATAGTAAAAGACACATTGTTATTAATCACCTTCAACCAAATACTCCCCCTCAGTTCAAACACACTTCTCCCATTGTTCTTGTCATTTTTTGAAGCTGTGCTAGAAGTCCTCTCTCATATCTTTACAAGATGTGATTAAAAAATACATTAATTCTACTGCAGAATGCCATCCAATGGAAAGGCAGGCTTGTAAAAACATTACCGTATATCCTTACTCAATGGACCTACTACTGTGATTTCTGGCTCTTCCCTAAAGTCAATGTGACCATGAAAGGTAAAAGGTCTAAAAATTGATTTAAGATACTGATGCCACAACAAGAGCATAACTAAAGAAAGCATGAAAGTGGCCTGGGATTTAGCTCAGTGGTTCCGCCACCTGCCTTGCAAGTGCAAGGTTTCGAGCCCAATCCATAGTACAGAAAAAAAAAAAAAAAAAAAGAAGAAGAAGAAGGCATGAAAGTATTTCCTGAATTGCTTTTACAAAGTGGCAAAAACGATAGTCTAAGGGTATTCTAAGTGAAGGTGTGTATTTTAGGGGGATTAATAGTAATTTTTTTTAATTGTAATAAACACTCAGCCTATTTTTTTTTTTTGGTACCGGGGATCGAACTTGGGTCCTTGCACTTCTGAGGCAGGCGGCGGAACCACTGAGCTAAATCCCCGGCCCATTCTCAGCCTATTTTTAAATCACATCTCATATGGCATATTATTAATGTCTCTCTATTTTTTTTTTTTTTGGTACCAGTGATCGAACTCGGGTCCTTGTGCTGGTGCAGCAGGCGGCGAAACCACTGAGCTAAATCCCTGGCCTAATGGCTCTCTTTAAAATTCTTAAAGCAAATGGCACATTTCAGGAATGCAAATTTATTCAGACAAGTAAGTTTCCACTATTAGACTGCCTTTGGAAAAAACTTGAAAAACATAATAAAAACTAAGTCAAGTTCTTAGGAAAAAAATTTTTTAAATGTTTAAAAATATCATAAACCATTTATAATTATCAAAAATATCTTAAAAGTTTTTTATAACTCTGTTGTTATCTATATAAAGGAAATTCCAATTAACCCTGCTGGGCTGGGGAGTTAGCTCAGTGGCACCATGCCTGCTTTGCCAGGTGCAAGGTCCACAGTTCCATCCCCAGTACCTCAAAAAAAACCAAAACCAATTATCCCTGCTAATCTCCTCTAACAGAATATTCAAGTATCACAAACCAGTCTCCTGAACACCACCTTTTTCTATTTTGAAATAGGAGGAAGACTATGCATCATCATATGAATGCTTTCTAAAATTGTCTATGAATGTCCAATTCAAGAAAAGTTACGCTCCCTCTGGGCTGAAAACCAAAGTTTCTCAGTTGTCCATCTCACAGCAGATTTCGATTTGCCCATGCAGTGTTTCTCTCACTTATACTATGAATAACACTCCCTCCCTTTTCAAAACCCAGAAAGTTTTAAAAAAAACAGCTGAAAGGGCCAGGGATTTAGCTCAGTGGTTCCAGTGCCTGCCTTGAAAGTGCAAGGTCCTGAGTTCAATCCCCGGTACCAAAAAAAAAAAAAAAAAAAAGAGTGGGGAAAAAAACAGCTGAAAATAATAAAATCAACTCTTCCAAATAGCAGCACTCCAAATGAAGCCTGATAAACCTGTCAAAGAAAAATTCTACCTAAACATAAGAGGACTATTATTTATTCATGTGTTACAGAATATCAGCATTCTTAAGATGTCTGGAAGCTTTGATGAATGTGAAGAATTCAAGACATAAGAATGAATAAAGCACTAAAGAAAGGCTTATAAAACTTCAAGATATAATAGGGAAACAAAGAGGTAAAAACACCTTGAAAATGGCTAAAACCTAGAGGTGGAAGGAGTAGAAAGCTACTCAACAGAATTACACTTCAAATTTTTATGAGGACCATTGCTACACTCCTTTCAAGAGATCATACAAGCCAGCTGTGATGGTGCACACCTATAATCCAAGCACTCTGAGGCAAGAGGAACACAAATTTGAACCCAGCCTGAGCAACTTAGCAAGACCCCGTTTGAAAATTTAAAAAAAATTTTAGGGCCAGGGATTTAGCTCAGTGGTTCCGCCGCCTGCCTCACAAGTGCAAGGTCCCAAGTTTGATCCTCAGTACCAAAACTAAAAAATTTTTTTAATTTTTAAAAAAGGGATGGGTTCATAGCAGCACAGTCTGTAATAGCTAAAACTTGGAAGCAGCCCAAATGCCCATCAACTGAAGACTGGATAAAGAAAAGGTGGTTTTTTAATAAAATGGAGTACTACTCAGCCACAAAAAAATGAGAAATTAGAGAATTTATAGCTAAATGGATGCACACTGAGGCGATACTCTTAAGTGAAATAAATAGGACATACATATGGTAAATACCGAATAGTTTCTCTGGTGTGAGAAACTGAAAGTGTAAATAAGGACTAAAAGGAATAATAATGTGAAATAGGAAAAGGGGCAAAGGGGAAGGGGAAGTGGGAGGGGTAGAGGAAAGGAAAGAAGGGAATGGAATTAATAGGAGAAAATGAAAAAATGGAAACAAAGACTTTGTAAATAGGGAGGGATGGAGGGGTTGAAGGGAGGGCAGGGGAAGAGGGAAAAAATAAGAACCAAGAGAGATTATGTAAAGGTGCAAATTTCCAATGATGAATGTCACTGTATTGTATAACTAAAATGTAGCAAAAAAATTAGTTTAAAAATAAAACAAGGGATGGGCATGAATCTAAGTTTGAAGGCTTTGCATTTAAATCTATAGTACCACAAAAAGTAAAGATCAGACAGATAAACTCATTCTCCCAACTCCCAGGACCAAGATGAAATGAGGAAATTATAAAAGAGCCAATGTATTAAATCTATAATAACAAGTATATGAAGAGTCTAGTAAAAATAAGAGGGGGAAAAAAAATCGTAAAACTACTTTGAGAGCATTATCTTAGCACAACTGCATCTATGCATGGCTGAATGAAAAAAATTAAATTAAGTAATGGAATATTTATGGATACTCTTTTTGCTAATGTTTTTAAGTACTTATAGATAACTTATCCTAAATACTTATAAATAACTTATCCAAGTTAACCAAGTTTTTTAGCTTTAAAAGTACTACCACTATCCTAACTCCTAATTTCCTCTTTAAATTATACTTACAGGGGCCAGGCATTTATTTAGCTCAATGGTTTTGCCGCCTGCTGTGCAAGCACAATCCCTGGTACCAAATCAATCAATCAATCAATCAATCAATCAATAAATAAAACTTACAGTTGGAGCAGGAGCCATAATGCTCATTGGTACAGGAATCATTGGGGTCCCTAGAAAAAGAAATAAAGGAAAATGTGGCATAAGATTATCACATATCATCACACTCTTATATCAATGGCAGCCAGGGATTTTGCTCAGTGGCACTGTGCCTGCCTCGAAAGAACAAGGTACTGAGCTGGATTCCAGGTACCAAAAAAAGTGTGCAGAATATTATATCAACTACATGATTACAGGAGTCCTAATAGTAAATATAAATAGAATATAAAATTAACCACTTAACAGTATACCCTGAGTGTAACTTGAGCAGCATGTTTTTGTATTGGCTATCCTGAATGTGGTTTGGGTAGGTGTCATTTCAACTACTTGATTCCTGTATTGGATAAATTTGATAAAATTGTCATTATTTTATATTCCTGTTATCTCATAAAAATTAACCAAAAAAATGCAGTTTTTGTCATCCTTTATTTATCAACAAAATAAATTATTCTGAAAAGAAAATGCTTTTATTTAAGGAGTACAAAGTTCCTAGCGATCAGTTCATGTTCATCTGGTTCTCTTCTCCTTCAAATGAGCACTTTTCAAACACTTCTGTGGAAGGCTGCAATATTATGCTCAAAGCAGGCTGTAAGCAGTACAGGCTGTGAAGAGCTAACCCCACAACTGGCTTGTTTATAGAAGTGAGTCCAGCGGAAGCCTACATGCCAAGGCAAGGTCACAGTAACTTGCACCCAAATTCCATTCCCACAATTAAAACTTTCTGAACTACAAAGACAATTTCTAATTTACAAACATATATTTTGTCTATTCTGTTCCTAATTCGAGAATGCTTTGTCTTTTATGAGCCTCGCTTACATTAATTTCCATAAAAACCACACAACTGCACATTTTCTCATGCAGTCCTGCCCTTGCACGTAGCCTGCCTTTACCCCAGTTGATTACCAATAAAAATCAGTAGTTTTGGGCCAGGGATTTGGCTCAGTGGCACTGTGCCTGCCTTGCAAGCACAGGGTCCTGAGTTCAATCCCCAGTACCAAAAAAAAAAAAATTGGTGGCTTGGATTGGCCAGCATCTTTGTCAGTTACACTGGCAATGGTCATCTTGGTACCCTGCTTTCTGTCTCTTTTAGTTCTGTCTTTTAGGTTTTTTTCCTCAGGCTTTCGTTGTACACTGAGCAGGACACTGGAACCTGCTACAGAGGTTTCCAGTAACAGGTTTCCAGTAACGTTTCAGGGCTTTCAATACATTTCAGTTATGGGTGAACAATAGTAATTTTTAAAATGTAAAAACATATTGTACAACCTTGTAGTTGGGTATGGTGGTGCACATCTATAATCCCAGCACTCACAGAGGCTCAGGCAGGAGAATGCAAAGTCTGAGCCCAGCCTGGGAAATTTACCGAGACCCAGTCTCAAAACAAAAAAACAAACAAAAAAAGGGTAGGGATATAGCCCCGTGCAAAAACCTCAGTTTCAATACCCAGTATAGTAAAAATAAAAACAAAATACTCCATGTTATAAAACACAGTGACTACAGTTAGCAATTTATTGTAATGTTAAAAATTCCTGGGGGGGAAAAAAAAATCCTGGGAGATTTCTAAGTGTTCTCACCACAAAAAAAGTATAAATTATTTTAATTTAGCCATTCTACAGTACAGAAATTTCAAAACATGGATTTGATATATGTAATTTTGTTAAATATGTAAAAACAAGCCCTTCAAAAATTAAAAACAAGCCAAGTGTGGTGGTGCACACCTGTAATCCCATCACTTGGGAGACAGGCAATAAGACTGCCATGAGTTCGAGGCCAGCCAGTGCTACATAGTGAGTTCAAGGCCAGCCTGAACTACATAGTGAGACCCTGTTTCAAAAAACCAAAACATATAATAAAATAAACTATCAAATGAGAAATTAATCTAGAAATCTTGTTATTACTGGTTCTTTCACAGAAAATGAAAATCACGCCAGGCTTGGCAGTACATGCCTGTAATCCCAGCTACCCAGGAAGATAAAGCAAAGGATCCCAAACTCAAACCCAGCCTGGGCAAGTTAGTAAGAACCTGTCTCAAAATAAAATTTGAGAAAAGGCTGGAGATGTGGCCTCAGTGATATAGCTAGTGCCTGCCTAGTATATGGAAAACCCTAGGTTCAATCCTCAGTACAGTGGAATGGAATAAAATGGAATGGAAAAGAAAGGAACTTAAAAAAAAAAAAAAAAGAGAGATCAGTAATCTCAGCCACCGTCAGAGGAAACTAATCTCTGAAGCAGGCACCTGCTGCTCTAAATAACTCACTGGGTGAATTTAAGAGCTGTCAATGGTCTACCTACTATCAACAACTTTGGGATATCTGTTTTCAACTACACTGTTGAACTTCAGGTTAAATTTATTATCAATTTGAAACACTTCTCCATCTAAAACCAGTAATAGTAAATTTTTGAACAACCACTCGGGACCCCTCCAGTCTCTCACAAGCTATTCCTATTCCCCAATAAATTTCCCTACTCTTAAAAAAAAAAAGGAAATTCTTAAACATTTAACATTATCACTTTATTTTCTAAAAATTTATTTAAAACAATTTCAGTATTCAAAATGACTTAAGTGTAAATCAAGATTCCAATAAATTAGTCTATAGAGTAAATTGTGCAGAGGGAAAAAAGACTTCAGAATCAAATTTGGTTTCAATCACTTTATTTATACAGCTTTGGGACAGCAAGTTAACCACTCCTTCAATTTCCTCATTCTATTAAGGTAATTACTTCTTTACACTGCCTGTGAAATTGTGATAATTTATAGGAACCACTTCTGTACAATGGATATTCAAAACTGTACCCTAATTGATTTGTATATCACCAGTGGTACAGCATCTGCCTGGCAAGTGCTGAGTCCCTGAGTTCTATTCTCAATACAAAAAAAAAAAAAAAAAAGGAAGGAGGATTTGTATCCAAATTTTTTACCTTAACACTACAAAGAAAACCTCTTCAATATGTAAACTTTCTACTGAAGAGAAACATTCAAAGCTGGGTATGGTACACACACTTGTAATCCCAGGACTCTGGAGGCTTAGGTAGGAGGGTTGCCATGAGTTAGAAACCAGCCTGGGCTACATACTGAGTTCAAAGCCATCCTGAACTACATTAGTGATACCTGTCTCAAAAAACAAAGCAAAACAAAATTTCAGAGAAAGACACAGTACTAAAGATGTTTTCTTTTTCAAGTTATTCAAAGTAGGTTTTCTATCCTAATTTCATTTCCTAAAACCTTTTTAAATGGCACTGGAGATCTAACCCAAGGCCTGCATATGCTAAGCACACCCTTTACTACTAAGCTATGTCCCCAGCTATTTTCTTGAAATTGTGAATTCACACTGAAAAATGTAGTGCCATCCATTATAAAGATCAATGCAGCCAGGCATGGTGGCACATGCCTTTAATCCCAGCACTGGGAGGCTGAGGCAGGAGGATCACAAGTTCGAGGTCACGGTTCAAGGCTTGCCTGGACTACATAGCGAGACCTTGTCTCAAAAAACCAAAAAGATCAATGGATGCTAAAGTAAAAAAGGAAAGTGCATAAAATGTGAATGGTATATTACCATTTAAGTTTTTTAAAAAAGGAAATGGGGAAAAAGTAAATACAAACACAGTGGAAAACGTTTAGCATATAGAAACTGACAAGGTTGTCTTTGGGGAAGAGAACTAAGGAACTGTGGAGGAAAACTTATCTGCAGACATGTTACTTTTTAAAGAAAAATAATGGCTACTAGGGGCTGGGGATTTAGCTCAGTGGTTCCACTGCCTGCCTCGAAAGCACAAGGACCCGAGTTTGATCCCTGGTATAAAAAAAAAAAAAAAAAAAAAAAAAAAACAACCAACAATAATAATGGCTACTAGTAATCCAAACTTACTTTTTTTGTTTGTTTGTTTCCGAGGATCGAACTCAGGTCCTTGTGCTTGAGAGGCAGGCGGTGGAATCACTGAGCTAAATCCCCGGCCCAAAACTTACTTTCTAATTTATAACACGATTGCCATATACATTATTTCAAGATCAACCTCAATTAACTGTATCAATATTTATTAGTTGTACTTAGACAAAAAAAAATTAAATGAAGGATACTGTGGTTTTGAATTATTACAGTAGTTTGGCATACTATTTCATTATCTGTTCTGCCTGTTAAAGTACTGATGCTTACACAGAATGCTAATAATGACTGAGCTATAATTAAACTGATTTTCAACCACCCAGATAAACAGAAAAAATAATGTATGCTGGTACAAACTGAATCAGAAAGGCAACAGCATTACCACTCTGAATAAATACCCACATTAGTATATTATCCAAACTGGCAACAAGAAAGCATTGAAAGTCAGATATTAGGGTCTGACAATCTATCTTAAAAAATAGACAGGGAGCAGGCTTAAGGGAAATGTTACACACTTATGTTCCATTTTCACTCATAATTTGATACACTGTTCACCTTAAAAGTGTTACCCTAGGGCTGGGGATTTAGCTCAGTGGTTCCCTTGCCTGCCTCGCAAGCAGAGGGACCAGAGTTCAATCCCCGGTACCAAAAAAAAAAAAAGTGCTACCCTTAGTATTTTATCTTTAAAAGTTCAAAGGATTTCAGAATCTTCTCTACAAACCCACTTACCAGCATCTCAGAATGTTTGCCTAGCATGCTTGAGGCCCTGAGTTCAATTTCTATTAGCACACACAGTAAACTCCAACTAGGTTTAAGAAAATCAAAGCACAGATTTTCCATTATCACCCTTCCTGATTCTGACCAAGTGATTATACTCAATTCCCAATCTCGTTAGAAACAGAAAGCAAACTTGGGCCGGGGACTTTTAGCTCAGTGGTTCTGCCACCTGCCTTGCAAGCTTGAAGTCCCAAGTTTGATCCCTGACCCCCCCCCCCAAAAAAAGTAAACTATTCTTCCTTATAAGTCCTATAACACCAAGAGTTTGCATGATGATAAGTCTATGAAAATAGAGATCTGCATTATGATTGTAAATATATAAACAAAACGAAGATATATAAACCAAAGGAAAAATATGATGCCATATGAGGTTGTTCAGAATACCGTCCTATGGTGATTAATCTGATAACTCACAACTAAATTTATTGTTTCCTGTTATCTCTTCACTCCCCCTTTCAGCAGAATTTGGTCCTATTATGATCCACTGAAGGGTAGCTAAGTTACTGTCTAAAATTCAGTAATTATTACATGGGATAATAAATTAGTAGTATTTAAACTTTTATAGTTTTCTGGCTTTGGCTCAGAACATACTAATCAATGATTATCTAGACACACAGATTAAAACACCCAGTTACACATGTAAATGTTTTAAAATTTTATACAAATATTACTCTATGATATGTTGTGTATGGAGTTATTATGATTTTTAAAAATTACTTTGTCACATTCAGGTGGGCATGGTGGCACACGCCTATAATCCCAGCACTCAGGAGGCTGAGGCAAGAAGATCACAGTGAGTTTGAGGCCAGCCTGGGCTACACAGTGAGTTCAGGGCCAGCCTAAACTACACAGCAAGACCTTGTTTCAAAAACAAAACAAAACAAAACAAAAAAATGTCATGGGGCTGGGGATTTAGCTCAGTGGTTCCAACACCTGCCTTGCAAGTGCAGGGTCCCAAGTTCGATCCCCGGTACCAAAAAAAACAGTCACATTCACAAAGTGGGTCAATGGTAGAACACTTCCGTAGCATGTGTGAGGCCTTTGGTTCAATCACCAGCACCACAAAAAAAAAAAACAAACAAAGAGAGCAATGAAAACAAATTGCCCTGTTTATCTTATGGTCTTTCAGATCTTAGGGTTGGAGGCCCCTTAAAGCTGAGCCTATAGCTGGACCCATTAGCACACACCTGTTATCCCCAGCCACTCAGAAGGCTGAAGCAAGACAACTGCTTCAGCCTAGGAGTTCAGAGTCTAAGACCCACCTCGCCAACACAGTGGAGCCTATGTTAATAAGCTCCCTAATCCAAAATTAAGAATAATACATTCCAAAATAAAGGCAGACCTGCTGGTTACCTCTATAAATTAGCAACTTATCATATGAGCCAACTGCTATGTACTTTTGACTTTAACAGTCAGGCTCTTTGGTAATTTCAAATCAGAAAATGTGATGGTTAAAAACAGATCCCTGGTGCCAGGCATGGTGGTGCATGCCTGTAATCCCAACACTCAGGAGGCTAAGGCAGGAGAATCACTGCCAGTCTGAGGCCAGCCTGAGCTACACAGTAAATTCAAGGCCAGCCTAAAATACATAGCGAGATCCTGTATCAAACCCCCCCCCCCCAAAAACAGGTCCCTGATGTAGAACTTTCCTCAAATAAATACTTCTGGGTGATTTAAAAGGACACTTTGCAGATTTCAGACTGAATTACATGGATTCTATCTATGTTAAAATACTTCTACCATGCAAATTAAGAGGACAGCTCTCGTACACAGTATTATTTTTTGGAAGGGTAGAGAAGGAAACTGATTTTTTACAAAATACTTTCAACTCCATTGAAATAGAAAATACCTAAAGTATTGCCTATAAACCAAAGGAAAACTTTCTCTTAGGCTAAACAATGTTAACTATGTATAGTTCAGGATAATGGTTTTCAAATGTGGGTTTCTGCTGCTTAAACATACACCTAGAATTAGCTATGAATGTGTTAATTAAGATTCCAAAGCCCCAGTGTCTGACGATCTGATTTAGGGAGATGGTGCAAGGCTTGAACATTTTTTTTAAACTCCACAGAATTTTGGAGAAAGCTTTTATATATACTGACTTGAAAAGCTCTCCAAGATACACTGTCAAGTGAGAAAAAAAAAAAAAAGTCAACAAGCAGAATGCTATTATATTAATGCCAGATGTGATGGTGCAGGCCTGTAATCCAATCACTCAGAGGCTGAGAGAGGAGGATCCCTGTAAGGCTAGCCTAGGCTACACAGTGAGTTCAAAGCCAGCCTAAACTACACAGGGAGACCCTGTCTCAGAAAAAAGGAACAAAATAAAAAATACAAATTTTTTAAAAAAGGAACAAAAAAAGAATGCTACTACGTAACCATACTAAAAAACACCTCGGAACTAAAAGAGAAAGCATACATTTATATTGGCTTAAAATCCCTGCTTGGGATTTAGCTCAGTGGCTCCGCCGCCAGACCACCAAGCGCAAGGACCCAAGTTCAATCCCTGGTACTACCAAAAAAAAAAAAAAAAGAAAAAGAAAGAAAAAAGAAAAAAATCCATTTAAAAATACTTGGAAAAATAAAAAGGAAACTAATGACCCTGTCTTATTTCTTTTCTAATTAAGAGAGGAATAAAGGCCAGTATATGGTAAATGAAGGAAATTTGTCACTTTGTAACTTTCTATATATTTTTCTATACATTTTCTATATATTTCTATATACTTTGTAACTTTCTATATATTTTAATTTTTGAACCACATGAGTATAGTACCTAGTATTTTTTTCCTTTTACCAATTATTTTTAAACATAAGAAATTCTAAAAGAATTTTCAAGGTAAGCCATATATAAAATCTACCACCATAGAAAAACAGACACTTATTTTCAGAAAGGTACTAGAAGTTAGTTACTACTAACATACTTACTATGTTAGTTACTACTAACTACTATGTTAGTTACTACTAACATAGTCACATTTCTTTTTTTTTTTGGTACCAGGGATCGAACTCGAGTCCTTGCGCTTGCGCAGCAGGCGGCAAAACCACTGAGCTAAATCCCCGGCCCCCATTGTCACATTCCTATCACTCGCCTAAAATTGATACTAAAATCACAAAAGTGCAAGTTTAAAAAAGAAAAACTTACCTGGAGGCACTGGTGGAGGAAAGCCTGGGAACTGTGGGGGTGGGATCCCTGGTGGGAGTGCTGGGATTCCCATGGGAGGGCGATTCAAATGAGGGGGAAAAGACATTCTTACTGCAGAAGTCTAAAGAAAGAAATCATGACAAATTATTGTATTTGAAAACTTTATACTTTCATATGCCTAGTTTGTTGACCTTCATTTTTAGAGTATCTGCAAAAGTCTAAAGTTTTCTTACCCAAAGGAGTTGGCAAAGACCCTCTTTTCTCTGTCTGTCCATTGAGAATTTTTAAAACTTAGATCTTTTCTAAAATAAGCTCCCAAAATGTAGATCTAAGTTCAGGATAGACTCCTACGATCATGTAGAAATACATATAAAGGAAAAAAAATTTTTGAGGTTCAGTTAATATCCAAAACTTAAATACCACACATCAACGAATCTTTTTAAACCAAACTTAAAATACAGGAAGATATCTCGTAGTTTGTTGTGATTTTTTTTTTGGGGTGCCTATCAGCACCCTACAAACTAAATTCACAATGCTAAAGAGTATGTGACTCAGTGTTGTCTAGTTGCTGAAGAATAAATGTATCAGTGAACGCCTATACGAATCTCAGGCCGTGGAGGAAAGGGATCCTCAATCAGAACACATAGTAATCACTCAAATATAAAGAGAACATACAGTTTAAGATAATGAAAACAGTCATCATTTTTCTTACATTTAAAAGCAAACCCTTTTTTTTTTGGTACTGGGGACCGAACTCGGGACCTTGCACTTGCAAGGCAGGCGGTGGCACCACTGAGCTAAATCCCCAGCCCCAAATGAAAAGCAAACCTCTTAAAGCTGGATGTAGTGGCACATGCCTGTAATCCCAGCACTCGGAGGCTAGCAGTGAAATCAAGGGCAGCCTGGGCTACATAGTGAGTTCAAGGCCAGCCTGGAGTACATAGTGAGACCCTGACTTTTTTCTTTTTTTTTTTGTACCAGGGATCAAACTCAGGACCTTACGCTTGCGAGGCAAGTGGTGGCACCACTGAGCTAAATCCCCGGCCCCATGAGACCCTGTCTTAAAAAACTTAAAGGAAAAAAAAAAAAAAATCAAACCTCTTAATTTTTTTTTTCTACAAGACTGGTGATAGAACCCAGGCCCTTCACATTCACATTGAACATCATCTCCAGTCTCCCCCGCCACACACACCTTTTTCAATTTTGAAACAGGGTCTCAATAAGCCACCCAATCTGGGCTCAAATTTGTCCTCCTGCCTCAGCCTCCCAGTGTTCTATGATTACAGGCATGCATCACCATGCCTGGCTTATCCATTCTTAAGTCAGATGTTAGCCATTTGGTTTTTCAAAATGTAAGAGCATAATGAATTGTTTTGTTTAGTCTTGGTATATTCCCAAAGGACAACTTCGTCCTTTAATGAATACAAGTATTTAAAATTTTCCCTCTCCTTCAAAATTAATTTCATGAACATATTTCACCACACATACTGGAAAAAGTGGAAAAAAGAAATGTTAGGGTGTCCCAAGAGGATTCTGTGCACCAGTTTTTAAAAAGCAGCCAAAATAAGTAGCTTGATCCCACATAAATAATTCCACTAATATTAGTGACTTGATAAACCAGAGGCATATATGTCTATTGACCATTAGGAAAAATTGTTGAACCTGTAACTGTAATCCCCCCATAAGTGAAAAAGTCCAGAACTATCAAAAGCTTTTTAAAATATGGCTCTATTATTTTCTCTTTTGTGTTTTATGATTGTTTTACTCACCCTTCAGAAGAGAGATGAAAAGTGTTAAGTCTTCCACTTTCTTTCCCACTAATCTCAACAGGCACATATTGTGTTTTCTACAGATCTTTCTAAGTACAAACTAATATATAATAATTCATGCTTTTTACAATTAATCATACTCTATTATTACCTGCATTTATTATCACTGACATCTCGTATCAGTTCATAAAGCTCTATTCCAGTTTTTGTAATCCAATAAATAATTATAACACATGTAGAATAATTATTCCACCACAATTAATGGTTGGCTCTACTCTTTAATTCTTACAAATAATGCTGAACATTCTAGGACATACTGGACATAGAACACTATACATCTGTACAAGTAATTCTATTAGTTATTACTACTGTATGTATCCACACTACACTTCCACATCAATCCCCAAAACAAAGATATACGTCCTTTCCTCATATCCTCACCAGTGTGAGAATAAGCCAGTATTTAAATTTTAATAATCTGACAGGTTAAAAAAACTCATTCCAATTTTTAACGAAATTCGGTATATTTTTACCTGTTTGTTAGATATTTCTTTCCAACAGAAAAGCACATCCTTCATGCTCACAACTTTTCTTCCTCAGACTGTTCCCATGACTTAGTAAGATAGGATAATACAAAGTCTTTAAACTTCAATTTCAAAAACACAGTATACTTAACATATTCAGAAAACTTTACAGGTAAAAGGATTCTAGGATGATCAATATATTTAGCAAATAAGGTACTGTACTGTAAATGCTTTGAAATTTAGGTATGAATTAGTGTGTATTACAAAGGAAAAACACAAGCCAGGCATGGTGGTACAGGCCTGTAATCCCAGCACTCAGCAGGCTGAGGCAGGAAGATCACAAGTTCGAGGACTACAGAGTTCAAGGCCAGCCTGAACTACATAGTGAGACCCTGTCTCAAAAAAAACAAAACAAAACAAAATCTCAGCACTTAGGAAGCTGAGGCAGGAGGATTGCCACTGTTATAGGCCATCTTGGGCTATACAGTGAATTCAAGGCCAACCTGCACTACATAGTGAGACCTTGTTTCAAAAAACCAAAAAAAAAAAAAAAAACAAAAGGGAGGGGGACATAAGACCGTAGGACTGTAAATGAGTTTCTTTTTTTTTTTGGGGTACCGGGGATCAAACTCAGGACCTTGCACTTGCAAGGCAGGCGCTGGAACCACTGAGCTAAATCCCCAGCCCCTTATAAATGAGTTTCTTAATAATCTTTATGTAATATATCCTGCCCCCAAACAAAAACAAATATTCTATATAAAAGGGTGGAGGGGCATGTATCTTCTTTTAAAACAGAGAAAGCTACTACTGTCCTACTTACAGGAGCTCTTGTGTTATTACAATACTCTACCTTATCACTTTCTTAGGAGGGCAGTTCTTATATTACCTGTTGAATAAATAAATTAATGAATGAATCAGTTAATAAAGTCTAAGGACCTCAATAGACAAATTTATCAAGCAGCTACCATGTGCCAAATACTATGCCAACAATGGACCAATGGTTCCCTTCAACATGGTTACAAAATTGGGCCACAAATTCATTTTTAGAATTACTTTCTCCCACCAGTCTTAGATACAATATTTTAAAAATAAAGCTACCTTTTATGGTTTTTGATGTTGAGTTAATTAAGATATGCCAGGTGTGGTAGCATACGCCTATAATCTCAGCACTCTGGACAAGTTTGAGGCCATCCTAAATTACAGAGTGAAACTATACCTCAAAAAAAAAAGTTAACTAGATATATTTTAATTCATACCAATATATCCATTCCATTCATTTCTAATTTTTCTATGAAATCATTTTATTTAGAGCTGCTCAGAACTTGGCTTGTTACTAGGCTGGACCTCAAAGGTGAAAAAATATTATAGTTAAGGGCTAAATTTCAGGACTTTATTTTTTTCTTTTAAGAAAGAAGGTAATGGCCCCTCCCATGGAAATTCAGAAAATAAATATTTTTGATTTTTAGTAAATACTAATGTTCACTTTAAACATTATATATCAACGGCATACAAAATTTTGTTTTTCTTTCTTTTTTTTTCTTCCGGTACTGGGGATCAAACTCGGGACCTTGGGCTTGCGATGCAAGCGGCAGAACCACTGAGCTAAATCCCCGGCCCCTAAAATTTTGTTTTTCTACATGAAAATGATAAAGTATGAACTCAAAATCATAAGTTTATCAGCTGCTACCTACGTAACACAATTTATAATAGTCTTTTATAAATTATACCCACATTGAAAGTCAGTGGGTATTTTGTAGAAAAACAAAGCAGGAAAGAGAGCTGGGGAATGGTATATTTCAAATCGGGTGATCAGGCTTCACAAAGACGGCAAAGATTTCAACAAATATTTGAAAGAGGATTAGGCAGAAAGCCTTATTCACAAGCAAAGGAAATGGCAAATACAAAAGTCTGAGGTAGGCATGGTGTTTGAGTGAGGTACATCAAGGTCAACAGTATGTCTATAGCAGAGTAAATGAGAATGTCAGAAGCTGGGCGTGATGGCACAGCCTGTAATCCCAGCACTGAGAGGTCAAGGGAGGAGCAATGCCACACTCAAATTCAGTCTGGAAAAACCTAGTGCCATCCTATTTTAAAATAATTTTAAAGAAAAACAAATAACAATTTTAAAGAAAGGCCTGGGGTTGTAGCTCTGTGAAAAGGCCCTGAGTTCCAGCATTAGAATGGGGATGGGGGGCAGACTGTGAAATCAGAGATGAATACTATTATTTGGGGTAGAGATTCAGAGAACATAGGGCTTGGCAGTACACTGTAAAACTTTTGGTTATTACTCTGAGATGGAAAACATTTGAAAAGTTTTTGACCTGGCTTATATTTATTATTTTAATGTAATACAAGTAGATTTTTTTTTTTTTGGTACCGGAGATCGAACTCGGGACCTTGCGCTTGCGAGGCAGGCACAGGAACCACTGAGCTAAATCCTCGGCCCACAAGTAGATATTAATAAAGTATAAAAGCAGTTCTATGAAAAATAATTTTTTTTTTTTGGTACCAAGGATCAAATTCGGGACCTTGCACTTGCAAGGCAGGCACCAGAACCACTGAGCTAAATCCCCGGCCCTGAAAAACAATTTTTTGTAACAAAAATAGTTGGGAGAATAACAATGGTAAATACACTGTGAATCATGATCTTAAAAGAATATATTTTCATTTTCTGATCTATCTCTCAACTCACTGCCCAGTAATACTACACCTGGGCTGGGGATTTAGTTCAGTGGCAGGGTGCTTGCCTCACAAGTGCAAGGTCCTGAGTTCAATCCCCAGTACAAATAATAATAATAACACTCCAAATTGTTTGCAAACAAAACTGTTTGTGAACTGAGGTATCACTGTACGTAGTGAGAACCTGTCTCAAGGAAAAAAGACCTAGAAGGGAACAAGATGGAACCAAGAGGGGCTGAGGATGTAGCTCAGTGGTTCCGGCGCCTGCTTTGCAAATGCAAGGACCCCTGAGTTCAATCCCTGGTACCAAAAAAAAAAAAAGATGGAACCAAGAGACAATTCAATAATCCAACAAGAGATGAAGGCTTAAAAAAGGCAGTGATGGTACAAATGGTATCAAATTGTTGGACTCTGGGTTTTTTTTTGTTTTTTTGGTTTTTTTGAGGGGGGGGGGTACCAGGGATTAAATTTGGAACTTTGCACTTGCAAGGCAGGCGGCCCTCTGGGTATTATTTTGAAGATAACCAACAGGATTTGCTAAGGGATTAACATGAGGTTTAAGAAAGGGTTATTTTAGGGGCTGGGGATTTAGCTCAGTGGCTCCTCCGCCTGCCTCGCAAGTGCAAAGTTCCAAATTCGATCCCCAGTACCAAAAGAGAAAGGATTTTTATTAGTCATAAATGCTTTAAGTAGTATTTTTTAAAATACTGAGGGCCAGGGATTTAGCTCAGTGGTTCCACTGCCTGACTCCCAAGTACAAGGACCTGAGTTTGATCCCCTGCACCAAAACAAAACAAAATATTAACTTTTAAAAGGTACAAAGTATTTTAGCTAAGTGTGAAACTTTGTAGCACAAAGTAACAGAAAAAAGCATATATAATGAAATCTTCCCAATCTGTGTAGGTTGTAAATGTACACACATCTCAAAATTCATTGAAATTAAAATGGATACTTTACTGTGATTTTTATCTCAATAGATTTTGTCCAAAAGAGAAAAAAATTTAAGATTTATCTATTTTACTCAACATCTTACTTTTTTCTTTACTCTTTCAAACCATTCTTTTTCTACAATTATGAGAGTACGATAGATATATAAAATACCATGAAAGACTGGTTATAAACATTCTTCTGTTGGAGACTTATCCGAAGTATTTTACCAGGGATACCTTTATAGATTAGATCCATCAGGACACTGTGCACCAAAATGTCTAAAATGTTAAAAATCAGCCAGGCATAGTGGTACACATCTATAATCCCAGCACTCAGGAGGCCGAGGCAGGAGTGCCCAAGTTTGAGGCCAGCCTGAACTACATAGTGAGACCTTGTCTCAAAAAAAAAAATTATGTCAGGCAGGGGATTTAGCTCAGTGGTTCCACCGCCTGCCTTGCAAGCACAAGGACCCAAGTTCGATCCCCCATACCAAAAAAATCATGTCAAGTTCCCCACTAGATATTATCTGTATTAGTTATGAAAGAGTAAAATTCAAGTTACTATATAAATTTTGACAGCTAGCCCAGTGATTCTACAACCAATATCAGTGACTATCAATGTAATCTGCACCGTTTATACCCTGCATGGTACACTGGAGGCTGACATAACTGCCTCAGCCTAAGCAAAGCATGTCCTATAATACATTATTTCATAACCTAAATTTCCATGGGACTGAAGTCCAAAGGAATTATTCCTAGGGGGAAAAATATGTTCAATGCCCCAAGAAGAATGTGAAATGTTTAATAGAAAAAAATTTATTTTACAGTAGGGATTTTCAAGGACACAAAAATACTCAGGCTGGTCGTACAGCTCAGTGATGGAGTGGCTGTCTACACTTGTAGGAAGACAGGCAGGCAAAGTAAAAGAAAAATGTTCAAGTGTTATGAATCTCCAAAAATAGGAAACTGATCTTTTTCTAAAAGATTTCTACTTTGTTACTTTTCCATTTTCAATGACTAAAAAACAATACCTCATATACATAAATATTAGTGGTTGCCACAAACTGAGGTAGCATAGAGAATGACTTGCAAAAAGGCAGGAGGGATCCTTTTGGGGTTAATGGTCGCACAACTTTATATATTTACGGAAAATAACTGAATTATCTGTCAATTACACTTTTATAAAGCAATTTCTTTTTTTTTTTTGGTACCGGGGATTGAACTCAGGTCCTCGTGCTTGCGCAGCAGGCAGCGAAACCACTGAGCTAAATCCCCGGCCCTCATAAAGCAATTTTTTAAAAAACAACATCAATTTAGGACAAGTGGCCATATCTTTGACCTAATAACTAGACAATATTGCATCAATGTTAGTTTTCTGATTTTGATAATCATATTGTTGTTAAATAATAGAAACTACTTCCTAGTTTTTAGAAAATCCACTTTAGTATTTATAGGTTAAGGGACAACACATCTGGAACATACTAGTAAAACATTTCAGAAATAAACCATGGAAAGAGGAGGAGAGAATAAAGACAACTGGTAAAATGTTAATATTTGGGTAATCTTTGTGCAAGACACTTGAGAATTTGTTATTATTCTTCCAACTTTTTTGTAAATTTGCAATTATGTCAAAAAATTAAAAAGCAGTATCAGTAATTCTGAATACTGTTTTTCCTTTTATTTTCGCTATGTAGCTCATTTCAGGTTGGCCTTGAACTTGCCTCAATCCTCCCGTCTCAGCCTCCTGAGTGCTGGGATAACAGGCGTCATCCCCAGCTGCCCTGCAATTTCTAAAAAAAACATTTTAAAGATATAAAAGCTATCCAAGCCAGGTGTGGTAGCACACACCTGTGGTCACACCACACAGGAGGATAAGGCAGGATCACCTCTGAGTTCGAGGCCAGCCTAGGCTACACAGTGAGACCCTGTCTCAAAAAAATCCAGTAAATAAGTAAGTAAAGAAAAGCTACACTTAAACTTTAAGAATTCAAAATACCTTTTTTACAGATGGTAGATGTACTGTTAGAGAAGACAATCAAGAGACTAAAAAAAAAAATACTTTTTTTTGAAACAGAGTCTTGCTGTGTGGCCCCGGGTGGCCTTGAATTCACTATGTAACCAACCAAGGCTGGACTCAAACTCGAACCAATCCTCCTGCCTTGGCCTCCTAAGTGCTGAGATTATAGGAACAGGCATGCACTACCACAGGTGGTTAAAAAATACACATTTTTGAAAGATGAGATTACTTTTAACAATGTTAATGATTTAATAATGTTAACTGTTTTTTTCAAGTTATAAGTAATCAATATAATTTTTTTCCGAATACTGTATAAATAAGACAAACTTGTAATCTGTCTTTTGTCTCTGCCTGAAAAAGGTAACTTGGCTTGAAAAGTCTCAAATTCTTTTTTATTTTTGGTACCAGGGATCAAACTCAGGACCTTACACTTGCAAGGCAGTCAGCTGCACCACTGAGCTAAATCCCTGGCCCAAGTCTCAAATTCTTATTAGGTCTGGAGTCATTACTCAATGTTTATATGAACCAATTATAATTTAATTGAACAAATATAATTTAATATGAACAAATTATAATTTCAGAAATATATTCTTGAAACATAATACAGTGAAATAGAAAAAGAAATCACAAAACAAAAAATGCCAACTCAGTGGTTCCACCGCCTGCCTCCAAAGTGCAAGGTCCCAAAACTAAACAAACAAAAAAAACCCCATAGTAAGTAGGTGGGGACTCCAAGGTTCCCCACTGTCGTGAAATTACCAATCCAAAGGTTTTTATTCCACCACAATGTTTCTTTCTAGTAATAACATACCAAAGAGAAAAAAACTTATGAATTATGACTTTATGAAACTTTTCTATTTATTAGAGAGCACTAAAAAAACATGAAAGTCAAAGTAAGGCTCTGAGACATCACTGAAAATTCTCAAGTAACATGAATATGGACTAAACACTGAAATGTTACTGGAATAATGCACTAAGGATTTTATGTTTTGCTCAATCCCCAAACCACAAACATGAGACAGGTACTATTAACATCTTTATCTTACTGATGAAAAAAATGAACACAGCAGGGTGTGGTGGCGAAAGCCTGCTGAGACAGGCCAGAGTTTGAGGCCAGCCTGGGCTACACAGTAAGTTCAAGGCCAGCCTGAACTGCATAAGGAGACCCGGTCTCATTTTAAAAAATAGGCTTTAAAAAGTTAAATAATTCAGAATTAAGATGTGTTATATACATGCACCAACTACCCATGATAAATGTAATCATTATGTACTGCAAACACAAATTTTAAAAATTTTATAGTAGTATCTACTTAAATCCTGAGAACTGATGACTAACTGAATGGCTCTCAAGGCCTCTGAATGTTTTGGGAATAATCTTTAAAAAATTAAAACTCACACAAATAATCATATTCATGGATTGGAAAACTCAACACTTAAAAACAATAATCCTGGGCCGGGGATTTAGCTCAGTGGCACTGTGCTGGCCTTGCAACCACAGGTCCTGAGTTCGATCCCCAGTACCAAAAAACAAAAACAACAACAAAAAACAATAATCCTGCCCAATTTGATCTACAGACTTAACATAGTATCAGTGATATACAACAGCTCTACACAACTTTTGAAATTCCTAGTCTAAATAAAATTACCTCAATAAAAGGTTTTAAACTGTAAAAACAAACAAAAAAATTTTTACAACAAAAACCCCAAAACTGATTTTAACTACTGCCAACTACCTAATATAAGTACTTCACCCTAAAGCAGTCTGATGCAAGAGAAGTCCAATCTCTCCCCTCCTTTTGGTCTGCTCCACTCTGCCCGGTATCAAAACAGCAAGTCCAGGGCAATATAAATCCGTATTACACGACTTGAAAATAACCTTCATATTTCTAGACCTATTTCGAAAAAGGTATTTAAAAAGCAATACTGAAAACCAAAAAAGGGTGGGAAAGAAACACATTTTAATGTAGAGATCGCTCGTCGCTTAGAATGAATGGACACTACAGTTACTGCATCCTTCAAGGCGGAAAGAGGGTAGGACAGCAGAATTCATCGTGGTGCTTAAAAAAAAAAAAAAGGAGACGTGGGCTTTACCCAAAAGGGGGGGGGGGGGGGCGTTTAGTGGCGGGCTCCAGATGACCAAAGAGGAAAGGAAAGGAATACGTTGGAGACCAGCACCTCGCTAAAAAGGGTGGGTGAGGGCTGGCTGGGTTCATGGCAGAGCCTAGGGCCAGTACATCCTAGGACAGGAAAATCTACGGGACTCTGCAGGGCTCGGGGAAGGGTGTCCCAGGGGCAGGCCGTTCATTTTGTAGCTAACACGGAGCCCAGACGTAGCCGAAGTGATTCGCTCCGCGCCGGAACGTGGAAAGGAAAGTGGGCAATCAGGCGAGAAACGATCAGGCCTCCACTGGCTTCCAGGCCCACAGGTTTTTCGAGGCCTTTAGAGAAACGGAGAAACCCAAGCCTGGTCCACGCCCCCTCCCCCACCCCACCTCACCCCTTCACCCGAACCCCAACCCAACCCTTTTACAGCCACTCTGGTTTTTCCTCACCTCCCCCCACCCCCGGCTGAGGTAAATCAGTCACCAGATTTCCACACGCGTTCAGAAACGTGAACTTACCGGCCGCTGAGAAAATGGTACTGTCTTCGCTGCCTTGTAGAGGCTCCAGGTTACAGGAGGCTTATCAGTTCGAGGTTTCTGCTCGGCGCCCGCCCGGGAAACAGGTTCCAATGCGCCTTTTCGCACAGGCCGCACACAGCCGCGCTGCGCTGGGAGCTTCCGGAGGTCTTCCTCTTGCCCGGCGTGCTTTGCGGCCGGGGGCGTGGAGCGAGGAACCATAAAGAAGAGGGCATATAGATAGTCTCCACTATTGGCTCTGACTCACCGCTGAGAGAAGAAAAACCATAGAGAAGAGGCGCCTCGTGGGGACTAGAAGGGCTCAAACTGTACGCCTCACCCTGCCATTTTTGATTAGAACCGATTGAATCTTATGACTACGCGACGCCATCTTGAGGTCACCGTCTCTCTTGGGCACCACGCGAAGCTTCTTAAGAGGATTTCTCACTTTTCGAGGTTTTTCTGGGGATTAGAACCTTGCTCTCTGATTGATTGAAGTTCCATGAACTGTTATCAGCTCCACCCAGAACCGCCGTAAAAACTGATGCTAATTTCTCCCTAGAAAACTGACTTGGCAATGAAAAAACAGGCAAAGCCTTTTTTTAAGTGCACACACCCAATAAAATTGTGGTAGGAGAGCCAAAGAGGTAGCTAGAAGATGTTTGAAATACTTAAAAACACCTGTAAGAATTTCAATATAAGGGCTGGGGATTTAGCTCAGTGGTTCCGATACCTGCCTCGCAAGCGCAAGGTCCCGAGTTCGATCCCCGGTACCAAAAAGAATTTTAATACAGCTTTCATCTGTGATATAAACATGCTAAGATTTTCACTTACTAGTGGGAATGAATTTCCTACTGCTTGCTTCTCAGAACTGGCTTACAATTTACTTAGTAAAAAGTTATTGCCTGTCTGGGTGCTTGGTGTTGCGCTAAATGGTGGGAGTACGAAGGCAAACGGGAGAGACTTGTTCCTGTCATGTAGGAATTGTAAAGGTGAAATAGGTAACAAACACTGACCACCCTATATAAAACTGAAACATACCTGAACACTGTCTGGCTGCCCGCTGCAGCACTTATCACCACCTACCATATTCTTATTGCTGGTCCGGCCTGCCCCTACTCCACTAGTAAGTGTATGAATGGATGTTTCCTTCACTGCTGTACCTCCAGTGCCTTACACTTAGCAAGCACTCATAATAGTTGTTGAATAAAAGAAATGAATGTCGTGTGATGGGTACCAACAAAACACAATGTAATGGGAATGTTAATGAGAAAATGTCTATATAACAATATTGCCATCTGTAAATTTTACATTCATATGTCCTTGTGCTTACTAACGTTTTTTAACTATTAAGTGAAATTAATAATACCAGGATTATTGCAAGGATTAAATTAACTAATGTGTGTGAAATTATTTTGTTCAATTAAATGCTATTTACATTTCGTAAATAATCTGTACCTTTTTTTTAAACAACCAGCGGCATAAACACAGAAGTCCACTCAAGTTACTCTATCCCTTTGTATGGTTAGAGACATTGTACATAAATTCATGTGTTATTGTCTCAGGCAACAATTTGCTGACTTTTCTGTAGTAGATATTTGTTGTTTACATTTATCTTGCTGCAAATTAGTGAAAAAGAAACTGCTTATGGGCATGGTGGTGCAGCCTGTAATCCCAGCTACTCAGGAACTGAAGAAAGAGGATGGCAAATTGGAGGCTATCCTGGGCAACTTAGTGAGACCCTATCTCAAAAAATAAAAATAAACAGGGCTGGGTATGTAGCTCAATGGTAGTGCACTCTCAATTTGATCCCTGGTACCAGCTTCCCCCCCCCCCCCAAGAAAAACACAAACAAAACTAAAAACAGCATTCTACTATTGTGATACAATGAAGAAACAGAAGCTCAGTGTGAACTAGTGCACACCCGTAATCCCAGCACTGGGGAGGCCGAGGCAGGAGGATCGCTGAGAGTTTGAGGTCAGCCTAAGCTACACAATGAGTTCAAAGCCAGCCTAGACTACATAAGAGACTTTTGTCTCAAAAAACAAAAAGACACAACACCAAAAACAATGAAGTAACAGGTTTACAGAAGTTAAGTAATTTGCCAAAGATTACATAACTAGTGAGCCCGTCTGGTTACTCAGTTCATGCTCTCAACCATTACAATATACTGTTTATCCTATCCACCCTTACCCTATACCACTATCAGGAATGAAGCTAAAAGGGCAAAGGACACTATATTTTTCACTTGAACTTGGGAAATAAGAATGAAACTATATAGGGGCCGGGGATTTAGCTCAGTGGTTTCGCTGCCTGCTGCGCAAGCGCAAGGACCTGAGTTTGATCCCTGGTACCAAAAAAAAAAAAAAAAAAAGAATGAAACTATTGCAGGTTGTGGTGGTAAGTTCCTGTGATCTCAGCACTCTGGGAAGCTGAGGTAGGACGATCCCAAATTTGAGACCACCCTGGACAATTTAGTAACTCACTATGACCGTGTCTCAAGATTAAGAAGGGGGGCTGGGAATGTAGCTCAATGTAAATGCCCTGGGTTCAATACCCATTACCATAATAAAGAGGAATGAAATGCTGTGATTTGTAGAAAGACAAATGGAACTTGAGACCATAATGCTATATGAAATACGTTAGATATAGAAATTTAAATATGATGTCTTATATGAAAAACCTAAAATACAAATAAATTAGTAAAATAAAAGAAAATAGGAAATCAGAAGGCAGACTTTTGGGGGATGGAAAAAGGGATCAGGGGAAAGGGAGGTACAGGAGAGGGAGGTAAGGAGATGAAAAATGACCATGAGGGCCAGGGATTTAGCTCAGTGGTTCGCCACCTACCTTTTAAGCGCAGGGTTCAGAGTTTGATCCCCTGTATCAAAAAAAAAAAAAAATTTATCATGATATGTTATGTGCATGCATCAATTGCCCTGAACAAACAACTATTATGTATTGCAAACATTTTTTTAAAAGCTGCTGAGTAGTGGCTTTCTGACCAAAGAAAAGATGTGGAATAAACTGCTACTTCTTGGCCTAAATAAGTGATATTGAATCAAATTCTAAATAGGAAATCATATTAGAGAACTCAACTTATTTACCAGGAAAGGAAAATGGGTCCATTAGAAAAACAGAAATTCAAATGGACCAAAAACTCAAAGGCAAATGTAAATGTCCAAAAAGAACATACTTTTAGAACTCCTAAAATATCTGAGGTAACCTTCAAGAATTATATTAAAAAAATTCAGAATCACCAGGCATGGTGGTACATGCCTGTGATCCCATCACTCAGAAGGCTGAGGCAAGAGGATCACCATGATAAGGCCAGCCTGGGCTACATAGCAGGACCTTGTCTCCAAAAAAAGAAAAAAAAATTGTTTTGAAAAGAAAATCTGAATCTTAAGCTCAAGATTCAAAGGAGTAAAAATACTCCAAAAAAGATAAAGATTGAAAGAAAAAAGTCTCCTGTGAACATTCCTCAGTGAAACCCAGGAGGAAGAGCTTACTTGGTATTTTTTGTTGTGGTTATGGTTTTGGGCCTGTTTGTTTGTTTGTGACAAGGTCATTTTATGTAATTCAAGCTGGCCTTGAACTCACTATGTAGACCAGGCTGGCCTCAAACATAAGGTGATCCTCATGTTTCAGCCTCTTGAGTGCTGGAATCGCAGGCACACACCACCACACCTGGCCTTACTTGCTGTTTGGGGGTCAATGATAGATTTGAACATTCTGTTAAAAAAAAAAATTCCAAGGTCCCAAGTTGGATCCCCAGTACAAAAAAAAAAAATTGAAAAAAAAATTTATCTGTAAGGCCGTAAAAAGATGATAGACTAGGCTGCAGAGGAGTGGAAGATTGAAAAGGCTGAGGAATTTAGCAACCAACTTGCTATTCCAGAACTTAATGTAAAAGGGGCCAAAGCAAGCCAGGTATGGTGACAAACACCTATAAATCCCAGCACCCAGGTGACTAAAGCAGGAGGATCACCAGCTCAAGACCAGCCTAGACTACCTAACAAGACCGTGCCTCAAAAAAAAAAAATTGCCAAAGTAATTGCCTGCCACAACTTTGTAAGAGCCAAAAAAGAGGCTGAAATTTCACAGGCTACTCTTTAAAAAAACACTCACATGGGGATTGGAAGGAAAGAAGAGATGGGAAACCAAAAACAATGTGGAATCTATGTAACTTAGCAGAGTTCTTCAACACATTTGTAGACTCACATCCTCAATTTAGTGAAAAGATTTTCTTGTTTGTGTTCAATATGTTAAGAAAGTAATAGAGAACATAAGAATAAAATTTGAGTTTATTATCAATTATTTTCCTTTTTTTCTAAAGAGCCCCATGAAGTGAAGCATTCTTTTATTTATACAAAACAACTAAGTATTCATACTAAAAAAAGATGCAGGATTTTATTTATTTATATAAACCTACAGTATAAAATCAATTTTGTCTTTCATCCATTTGGAATAGCATAGCCAGTGAACTCCTTGTACTTTCTTAGCAGTACTCAGTATAACTGTACTTATTCTGGAATTGCACTTCCTAGGCTGGCTTTTGCTTATACTGGATAATCATAAGTGCAAAATGGTCTCAATTGAGACTTCTTTACAAATGAATTTAATTACCTTAATGTTATAAAAGTAATTACTGACTTTATTAGAGGTAGTAAAGCTGATGTATAAGTCACATAGTAAAAGAAATTATATTTTGCATTCTTCCAGATAAAATATTACAATAAAAAAGAGAATGTAATATTTAGAGAATGATTTAAATTCAGCTCTGCCAAAAATGTCTTCCTAGATATCTGTCTTGGTCACGTCATTCTTTAAAGTATGAGATGGCTTTTAGAAGAGAAAATAATGTTGGGCTGGGGATGTGGCATGCACCAAGGCTTGTGTTCAATCCCCAGCACTGTGGGGGGAGGTGGAAAAAACATCACTGAAGAAGGAGAGCTGAGAGAAAGTAAGAGAGTGTCTAAAGTATCAGTTAAAAACATGGATTCAGCCATTCCTCCAGCCAGCTGTGCTTCTATTCTTCTTGGTATGTAAGCCAATAAATTGCCTTTCCTGAATCAATTTGAACTGAATTTTCCTTCAAAAGAAAGAATGATCAATGAAGCTCTTATATGTTGCTTGGAGAGAACAGGGTAAGCCATTCACTTGCAGTGCCAATCAGCCCCCTC